AATCAAGTCCAGGTCAGGGGGTGGGGGAAGCAGGGGCAGGAGCAGATTTGCATGGAGGCCCCGCCCTCCTCTGCAGCAGGGGGAGGGGATAAGAGAGGTCTGGGGGACCAGGACCAGAGTTGGGGTCTCAGAAGGCAGCGCTCTGGGGCATCTCCACCATGGCCTGGGCTCTGCTCCTTGTCACCTTCCTCACTCAGGGCACAGGTGAGGCTCCAGGGAAGGGACACGGGGACTTCTGGCTAACCCTTTCTGTCTCTGTCCACAGGGTGACCTGTGGCTCAGCCGTAAACTGACCAGTGTGATTTTGCTCTTTTCAGGGTCCTGGGCCCAGTCTGCCCTGACTCAGCCTCCCTCCGTGTCCGGAACTCTGGGAAAGACGCTCACCATCTCCTGCGCTGGAACCAGCAGTGACATTGGGGGCTATAACTCTGTCTCCTGGTATCAACAGCTCCCAGGAACGGCCCCCAAACTCCTGATATATGAGGTCAATAAACGAGCCTCAGGGATCCCTGATCGCTTCTCTGGCTCCAAGTCAGGCAACACGGCCTCCCTGAGCATCTCTGGGCTCCAGTCTGAGGACGAGGCTGATTATTACTGTGCCTCATATAGAAGCAGCAACAATGTGCACAGTGGTCCACGGTCATGGGGAAGTGAGACCAAAACCTGCCCTGAGCTCACTCTGCTCTTCTATCCTGAATTCAGAGTTTCATTTGTTTTTCATGTGTGTGTTTTGGAAATAATTACACGTTTAAACCAAACTGGAGAGGTTTCATGAAGAACCCCTGCAGAACCTTTCCCAGATGCACCAGTTTGGAATGCTTTGCCACAGGTGCTTTTCGGATATCCCCTCTCCTCTCTGACTCTGCATATATGTGTCTAGATGCACATCCATTGGCACGCGTGTTCAGCGCACACACAGCCACACAGAATGTTAATTTTCAAAATCACTGGGGAACAACTTCTACCTTCCAGCATCCAAGCCTTCCTATTTCTTCATAAATACACTAAAGAATCCACAACATACATCAGTTTGGGGTAAATAAATCAATGGGTTTTCATATGTTCACA